CGAAGAGGGGATGGAGATGTCGATATGGAGTGAATGATACCGACGTTGTTTATGACGGACTGTGCTCGGGCTGATTCTTCGTTTTGTTCCGTGGTATGATACCCTCCGCAATTTTCACCTTGTTGCATAAATACGAAGAGCTCAAGGGTTTTCGGTACGTTGAAATACCCTGGTGCGCTGCGAACTAATAGATCATACATGTATGTTTTTTTAGACTAGGTGGCTACATTGTTTGACTGTACTTGCCCTCATAAATGACGATGTTGCCCCCGTTTCGTATGACCTACGCTGTTTTGCGAACCTCACACCTTTGCTTCATCATTTGCTGTGGAGTAGTCGTTTGAGATGGTTTTGACTCGGGTCATGGAAGAAGAGCCGTCCATGTCTTCAGCTCCGTTGCCGCCTGATGTGGTGTTGCGACCTTCATTCTGGTCTTGACAGCGGTGCTTCAAAACTCTTACGAACCAGGGTGGACGACCAATTCCTTTCCATGTCCAATACTCTTTGAGATCATACTCACGTGGTTCGATACGCCCACCGCTTACATAGACAACAATTCCGACCAGACCGTTTAGTATGGTGTACACAAATATGCCCCTGGATCGATGGGTTAGTTGGGTATCGATTGCCATAGGGACGCAGTGACTTACGCAATGAGACCGTACGCAACGCTGTAGCTGAACGGTATGAGGGCCATGACAACAAAAGAAGGCAGTACATCACCAATGTAGTACCAGTTGACCTGCGTTATCTGACGAATCATCATACAGCCAACCTGTTCCTCACCATCAGTTACAGGTTCAGTTTATACGCTACGTTTGGACCTACCATGATCAATGTACAGCCAGTTGCCCATGGAGGTAGGGAGGCGAAAACAGGGGCGAAGAAGATGGAAACCAAGAAACACAGCCCCGAAACGATGGCGGTGATTCCAGTTCGACCGCCCTCAGCAATGCCGGCTCCGCTTTCAATGAAGGCCGTGACAGGAGAGGACCCAAAAAGGGCACCAATGGAGATGAAAAAAGCATCAGTGCAGTATGCCAGGGTGGAACGACGAAAATCACCATCCTTGCGATCGTCGACGCCACAGAAACGAACCATGGAGTACAGCGTAGCTGTGGCGTCGATGATATCGACATAGAGGAACGTGAAGAGGGCGAGTGCGAATTGCGAACCACCGCCGCTGAAGGTCCAGTCGAGTTTGTTGAGAGTCTTGTCCATCGGGTGCCAGGCAACAATCTGCTTGAAGAAGTCGAAGCGTGAGTTGCCCTCCTCCGTGTCTGGGAAGTAGGTGACGGGTGTATTACGACTAAGTACCATTCAAGTCAACTTTTGAAAACTAGGCCAATGAGGGCATATACGTGAGTAGGAGAACGTACGGCCAGGATATGACAGACACGAGAGCGATGCCAATGACGAGGGAATATTTAATCCGGTATGCCATCAGGAAGGCCGTGACGATACCGCCGCAAAAGATGCCGAGCCACATCTACGGTCCCACCCTTTGGTCAGTTGTAAAAAAAAGGAGTTGTTGGAGCGAGACTTCGAACCTTGGGATTGGTCATTTGGCCTGAGTCACACATTCCAGTTTCTGTGTCGAGAAGTTCAGGGGGACATCCTCCCAGGGCCAGTGGTGTCTCTGTGCCACCGCCGGTGATGGCTCCGATGCCGACCGAGTAGGACAATCCAATTTCTGTCAGGAAAAATCCAATGCCGACACCAGTAGCGACCTTCAGCGTGGAGGGAATCAGCTTGACCAGCCACTGCCTCATGCCGCTGAGTGCCAGCACTACGAAGATGATGCCCTCGATGAAGACGGCTGTGAGGGCGGTCTGATACGGGATCTTTCCGCTCCCATTTTTACCGACAACCTAGCCAGAAAGGTTTTGTGTTAGCTCCTGAGATATGGATGGCATGCTTCAAGGACGATATGGGGTGGTCGAGATACCTGGAAAGCAAAGTAGGCGTTGAGTCCCATACCCGGACTATATCAGCATATCAGCGGAAGTATTCCAAACTATACCGCGAACAAAGTCACTTACGCAAGGGCAACAGGGAGATTGGTTAGAATGCCAAATACAAGAGACGATAGCCCGGCGATGGCGGCCGTGGAAGTGATCAGCTCTCGTCGAACATCTGGGCTCCATCAGTCAGGATGGTCTGGTGACTGAGGAAATGGTAACACTTTCACCAACCTTCTTTGCAGGCTTTGAATTCTGGGATGCCATCACACTTGCGTTTGTCCTCGAGATGACAAACACAAGGACCGCCAGTTTGAGAAAGTAAAGATGCCTAAGAAATCGTCAAGACTTGGGCTTCCAGACAGAGGCCATAAGAGGACGTGACGGACATTGACGGAAATAATGTAGGCCATTGTGGCAAAGGTAGTCAACCCAGCTCGAATTTCCCGGCAGAAGCTTGCACTGTCTATCTTGTCTGGCTAAGTGAGTACCGGGTTAGCAAAGAAGATGCAGGTTTCTGTTTGGGGGTGTTGGCATACATTATCGCTGTCCCCGAGGCGAAAGTAGCTCCCAACGCGAGAATTGGCTACCCAGAGGTCAAGGGAGCGGAAGAATTTACGTAATTCCATGATGATGGATGGCCTATCATGTGAAAAGGGGCTTGGTACGATGGCAGATGACTGTTGTTTTCCGTCATGTGTTGTAAGTGGCATTGCAAATGGTGGATCCGACAATGATGCATTTACAAGACTGAGGGGAAGAAAAGGGGAAAAAGGAAGGCGAGAGAGGAAACCAAGTTTCTCAAAATGTATCAAGATGAATTGAGCAAAAAGTGAATCAAGGGCACGTGGACAACCCGAGCCGATCTGGCACTGCGAGACAGCTGGCAGCTGACGACTTGGGAGCCGGATAAACGACTTCACAGATGGGGCGTCACAAATATCTGAGCTTCAGAGCCTACGCTGCAGACAGATGCAACCTGGTTCTATCATGTTGATCGACTTGCAGCCCTGTTTGAGTCCGGCCCAGTGATGCACAACCTCTTACCGTACGCCTAGGCGATAATAGAGCCTCCAATGGGGTATGGCACGAAACGCCACGCTTATCCAGAATGAAGTTTATTGCATGCAAGGTAAACTAGACTTCTATACGCGGTAAGAATAAAGGCGTGGTTCGATTTGTGCTCCGTTTCTCAAGATGCTGTGAATGCCGAGATGTATCCCGACTAGATGGCCCTGCTCTGCCACGATCGAGGACCGGACGAAACAACGAGCAGCACACTTTCATCTCGTCAGTTGTCTGAAGACTGAGTTTGGGTAAACTGTGTTTCCTCTTATATTTTTGAGAGCTGGAAGACGGCGCGGGCGCTCTGCGACAACTCTGGTGGCCTGCCAACGTGCTTCTTGTTGAAAGAAATGCCCAAATTTGGATACAAGTGCCACCAGACGGTTCTGGGGGTTGTTTCAGGCTGCGAAAGGAATGCAAAGGAATGCAATGTAGTACAATCCCGAATGTGGGATTTAATTGGTCCGACCGAAGGGGGGGGGAATATAAGTTAACATCCGGACAGCACACAAAGGCCCTTTTGTTCTTGGGCCATAACTACGCCAACGTGTGCCTCAAACAATGGCGACATCAGCTAATGCAGTGGTATTGGTTGGCATGGAATCATGGCATACTCGGGGAATGACTTGTACATGGGCCTTGAGCAACATGGAGATGGTCCTGTGTCTGCGGTGCGGCATCTGATTCGCCTCGATGCCATCATCTACTGCTGGTGTCACAGATGCACACGCTGCAGGCAGATGACAGATGGTAGCTGGGAACATTGGACTCTTGACACTGTTTGTACGACTGTGAATAGCATGTTCGCTGTGGATAAAGGAAGAGGGAAGCTCGGACATGGCCGAGGATTTATGACACACACGACGGTCTAGTTGTACCAACACAAGGCAGCAAAAAGCGACATCGAGCAACATTTTTCTTCCCATTGGTTTCACCATCGCGCTTTGTTTCGTGGGAAACACACTACCACGCCCGCCACGCGCTCCGGAAAAAAAGAAAAGAAAAGAAAAAACAGTTGGCGCCCTCGACATTTTCGTAATTTTTTCTTCTTCTCAAAAATAGCAACATTTCTAGGTATGTGAAGATATTGGATTCTATAGTTCTAATCGGCGTGGCGAGAAAACCTTCTGTCAACTACCATGCGGCATGCCCCCCCGGCTGCTGCTGAAGGCAATCAATTCTATCCCAACTCATGCAGCTTCCGCCCGCCACAGGCACCCATTCCTAGCCGACAAGTCAGATTTAAGCTCGCTAATTAAGGCTGATGTGAAACTGAAAGAAATCACTGATTGGCCGTGCCGAGTCTGTGGATCAACGCAGTTCAACACAGTTCACTGCAGTCTGGGACATCCCATCTTGATGCAAGCCAGCGAGCATCTGGGTCGCCACCGTCACACATCTCTCACCTTCCTTTGGTCTGAACTTAAGCTCTTTGTTACACGGCAGCGGGTCATTGCATCTAATAATCCTCGTGTGACTGTTCTTTCACACACGCCATTGGATGGCAACACCACGCAGAGTTCACGCCAAACTTGATCTCTCTGCCAGCATTAGCCAACCATCTAATCTCGACTAATATTCACCACAGTCATTCCAAAAAAAGAAAAAAAGAAGGAGAAAACCAGGCTGTGTGTCAAAAAACTCCGGTACGAAAAAAAAAAAAAAAGACCGATTCTGCGCCGGAAAACATATTCCATAGCCCGTTATTAATGGTGCCAACAAAACGCCCCCTTGCCGCTCGACTTCTAACCTCGTCTCCAGACACTGCCTGTCATACCTCAAGCATCTATCCTAGCCTCAGCATCTCCTCCTGTGGCACTTGGAATTGGAGCTCGCTACATGTATTGTTTAATGAAGCAGGGGTCTTGTCGTTTGATCCCGTCGAGAAAAGGCAGCGCCTAAAAGTCCCGCCTAGGCAGAATCGCACCAACTTTAACACAATCCGCCGAGTTGACCACATAGGCTCCTGTTGCCATGTGGGATGTGGCCTGGACAGACCCAAAACGAGAGCTAGTGGGCGAGCATCGCGGGAGAAAGGACAAAGACAGGAGTGTCAAGGACAAGAGCCTATCTCGAAACTCGGTCTCGACAACAAGCTCAAAGACATCTACCCACTCTACAATTTCTCGTCTTCGGGCCAGAGCGCTTCGGCAATCATCCTCTTCAAAAGAATCCCCTAGGCAGAATATAAACCCGGACTCTGGGCCCCAGACCCCCGATCGCTCCTTCAACAATCGCTCTCCATCGGTAATGTCAGATGCCGAGCAGAGACAAGTCAGTGGCCGCCCGATCCTCAGCTGCTCTGACTTGCAGATAGAAGTTACATCACGAAATGGATCTTACTCAGTGGGGCGAAGCAAGTTTGCTGCCGTCAAAATTACAAAAAACAAAGGTGAATATGGCATGTCTGTGCGCATTTTGTCTATTTTTGCTCATGCTGTTCGTGAAGAACTAGCTCCAGAAACATCAGCCACAATTGAGTCGTACGCTAGGCAGTCAGACGACAGTGACGTATTTTCTACGAAAAGGAAGGAGAAAGAGGACACTACATCTACAGAATACAGAAATGGAAATTCGAAGCAGCGCAATGGGGCCGGTATCTGGCCGCAGCGCTCGTTTGATCTCCAAAGCCCCATAAGACAGTCGTTTGTAGCCAGTCCCTTGGTGTCGCCCAAGTCGCCATCCAGGTATGAATAGCAAAGTCCAGTTCGACAATAAACAAAGTATAGAAATTCTGACAGAGGGTATACAGAGTCCATGGGTCAAGCCCAGTATTGCCGCAGGATGAGCCAGTAATGTTGGTACCACCCCTGAGATGTCAAATACGACTACCACCCAAGCCAGCCCAGGAACCCTCTCCCATCAACGATTTATCCTTGTGGCGCAGCCCGAGAGAATGGATTGCCACTACAGAAATGGGGAACACAGTTCAAATGATCGAGACAGTGACCGGACTCAGAGCCAAGGAGCTAGAAACCACCTCGTTCGAGCCGTCGCCCGATTCGTGGCATCTACCGACAGAGGTGAAGCAGATGGCCCAAGCTAAGCCTTCAACAGCGCTATCCAAACTGAAAGCATCAGCTGAGAACGCATTGAGCTTGGAGGAAACCCAAAAAATCAACGGGGAGAAGAAACGATGGATGCTCTCTGTCTTGCACCATCTAGATTGTGGCAACAGACACGACGCGAGTGGTTCAAGCACACTGAGAAACGGGCTCGAAATACTAGAACAGACCAGGCGTCGAAAGATTTTGGCAGCATATGATCCTAGATGTAATGACTGGTCCTACCAAGCGCAACTTCTGTTAGACAAAGTGCTAACACTGACAGTAGTCTCGGCGCGCTACTTGGCTGCGTTGTGGCCCGAAAACACAATTCATCACCTGTCCGACAACCCACTCTCCTCAGACTCAGCACCGAATATTTGCGCTGTTTATAGTCCGGATGCGGTCTCGCCCTTGCCGGGAGCCCTTCGTAATTTTGACGCTGCTTATTCCATGACATTGCCTTCGCTCTGCCGCGAGTCGGATATCCCGACGGTTCTGAACAATATCAACAAATGCCTAAGGTCCGGAGGAGTCTACCATTTACTATTGATAGACCCCATACCGAACACAGACGCGCTGGGGAAGAACATGAGGGCTTGGTTTAGGAACCATCTGCTGCAGAGACTTAGGCAGCAGTCACGATGTCTTACCCCCAGCTACATCTTTCCAAAAGCCCTTGGGGAATCGTCGCTGCGGGGGCATGGGAGCACCCTGACAACCACCAAGTTCTACGCGAACCCTCGGAATATAAGTCGCAGCCAGGATGAAACCGACGAGGAAGCGAGGCAGGAGAGGGAAGGCAAAGAAACCAGGGCCGAGCTCAGGAGTATTGTTGGGCGTATGCTCTGGAGAGAAGTCTGGGGCGAGTTCGTCACGTCAGACACTTGGTGGTGGGAGGACCCGGATTGCATGCAGGAGTGCCTTGAACTGGGGACTTTCTGGGAGTATTACTCAATCCAGGCTGTGAAATCGAATTGAAACATTTGATGGCGCTGCCGGGCTCTGCGCTGAATCACTACGCTTCTCTACGCTCTGCTCACTATTTCTTCATTGAGCCCGAGCAGAGCCGGCAAAGGTCACCACGGAATGAAAAACCGTCGAGTCTCCCAATGGCTCTAGACCAAATGACGTATTTAAAATGATAATTTAAATAAAAGCAGATCTCAACTGCCGACTAGCAGACCCCTCCGACTCGGATCAATGCACCTTGTAAATTTAGGGTTGCACTGCCACTTCAGTTGTGCCACAAATCATGGCCAAGTTCAACATGGTGGAGACCGCAGAGACAATATAAAACCTCAGTAATGTGACTTGGAATCAGGGTCTATAAACTTTTCCCATCGTTTGTCCGCAACAGAGCTGAGACATGACGGCCATGGCAAACCGCTTTGACCTGCCTTCATTCCAGACACCAAGGCAGAGGCAGCACAACGGCATCGGCGATCAACATAGTCTCCGTCTATTGTACGTCCGTAGGCTACGACCCCGGACGGAGACGCCCCCTCCACACGCGATAAATCTTGACCGAATGACCCTCAATGGTGGTTATTGGGCGCCGCCATCCAGCGAGCAAACTCCTCAATCGGGCAGCCGCCGTTGCGGATCGGATCGTCAACGAGTTTTCGTGAGTCAGCACCCTCGTCTTGCTACACGCCCGACTACTGTCTGTATTCTTGCAAGACCCGTCCCCAAGTCGTCAGTGGAGAATTTCGCAAGGAACACGTGGGGACGGTTGTTCTTCAGCCCGGAATGGCGTACGGGGTCGACAACTAGACGGCGTTGAATCAACGACGTTAACAAAAGAGTGCTAGAATCCCACTAGCACTTGGACAAGAAGATGCCTTGTTTAGATCCTGGTTGTGTTGATATGCGTGCCGAAGCTTCAATGCTCGGTGGCCCGTCTCCGCGGACTCACCTGCACGTGGCTTCGTCTTCCGAGAGAAACCCATCAACAATCTTCAACTCTCGTGAGGTACCGAACAGCTGGAGCCTCGGTGAGTAATGGAGGGTGTGGCGTCAGGGCGCCCGACCTGTCATATTTGAACCTGACAGCGGCATCGTACGGAGTACTCCGTACAGAATTTGTCCATTGTTCCCCCACTCAGCCACCAGAATTGATAATGTCCAGGGTCCAGCCAGGGGTAAGGCCATGACTCGGTTCGGGCGGGACGAGGCCAAAGCCAAGCGCGTGGCCTTGTTTAGGGCCGAGCTGATGATTGCAGTGTTCATAGGAGAACAGGGGAGACACAAAGACATCACAGATGGTCAATATTGGCATTTTGCATGGTTTGTCGCAGACGGCCAGCTTACTCAAGAGCAGAAACATCATCTGTCGTGTCTCAATACAATCCAATATCGCCATCGTACGCCATGAAGCCCTGGTTTCCGTTCAAATGGCGCTAAATTCGTTGCAACGGCGGACAAGCAGCTTCGCACATGTCCACATCCAAGATGGGCTATGTACAATACACGACACCAAAATCCAAAACAGCTCATTCAAAACACACGCGGCTTTCATCAGCGGAGTAGCACGTGTTTCTGTGCTACAAAGGTATCTCCAAGTACAGGAACCAGACTCCTGGATCCAAAAAAAAAAAAAAAAAAAAAAAAAAAAAAAAAAAAAAAAAAAAAAAAAAAAAAAAAAAAAAAAAAAAAAAAAAAAAAAAAACCTCCAATGCAATGTGACTTGACGGCCGGAAACAGACACTCTTCCCTGAATCATGCCTGAGAACGCATATTGGAACTTTGAGTTAAGCAGGCCGTAAAATCGAGAATAAACAGACAATAGTAGCTAATTATATCAACACTAACCATGATGCAGAAGAATGAAGAATAATATTATAATAGTGTTGGCGACTTCGGTTCGTATTATGGTGCTGCAACACCTCAGCAGTGTTGGCCGCCATCAGCTGAATGTGCCCGAGCCTTGGCCAGCTCTGTTGTGCTGTCAGACGCAAAAGTCCTGGAGCTGCCTGGAGGGGACCTGAAGACGGTCCGACTACGGGGTGTTCCGACATCCTTTTTGTCGCGACCATTCCTCTGATCAACCAACTCGGACACTCTTGATGTCTTCTTCCACCGCAGATCCTCCAAGACCTCTTTACACGCCGACAAGGAGGTCACCGCGTAGATGACGGCGTTCCAGAACCCTTGGAGGGGAAGGACAAAGGCGCTCATAAACTCCAGCGGAACAGAGACATCCTTGTCATTCACAAAGGAATACACTCGGTTCGCGGTCGAGGGGATCCACGTGATGAGGATTGCCGTGAAGAAGAGAATAGAGCACTTGGTATATGACCAGGCCGCGTTGTTCAGCTCATGGTTGCGTCGACGTGCAATGTTAGCTGGTCTTCGAGGAGCAAGTTGCACCGCAGATGTATGCTGTAGTGTCGTCCCTTGAATGGGCAGGGCATGTTCGTCATAGGCCTGGACAGTGTTGTTCGAGTCCGCTGAGATATGAACTGTGTACGCTCCGTTGGGACTCCTCGTGTTCGGCACAGAGTTGGAGTCTTGACGATTCATGCTGGCGAGCTGTATTCCCCTCTCTCCCGCTACCTCGCTGGTGACAGTAATCTCTGTGGTTTTGAGGGTGGAGATGGCGTCGCCGTTGACCGAAAGAGGGTCAGGGTCCGACGAGTGAAAGCATCGAAGCTGCTTGTGCTTTTCGTAAATCGTACGCCCGGCTCGTATGTAGATGAAAAATGTTATCAGGATCACAATCCTGCATCACTTGTATTAACTCGGGTCGAGTTTAACATGATTCGGGGTCATGACCACGTACCAGACAGGGCCATAGAAAGATGCAATTCTAAGGAGATCCCAGTCGTAGGAGATCCAACACCACAGCGAAGCATTTCCGTAAACGCGTGCCCCATCGTGGTTTCTGATGAAAAGCAAGACAAAGGCGGGCACGAATGGGATGCCGTAGCAGCCAATCAAGTAGGGTATTTCCATGCGTCGAAGGCGTTCAGCATCAAATTTGTAGTAAAACGTGAGATAAACGTTAATGGCCATAGCCAAAGTCCAAAAGGCATCTGCAGGCATAAATCTGTAGTTTTGGGGAAACAAGAAGAAGAAAAACGTTAGTAAGGCTTGATATACATGGGGGTCATTATGCAGCTAGTCGGAGCACCGACAACGTACAGTTGAATCAGAAAGGCTTGAAATTGGCAGCCAAAAGAATTAACGTTTTCCAAGAAGGTCCGTGACATCAGAGTTCCGATATTAGTTAACATGTTGCCAAAGGAGGCATAAAATACCAGTCGGTTGATTGGCTTGTGAAAGGATCGTGAGTAGCAAAAAGTAACAATGGTGAAGAGACAGCCCAGAAGAGACAAGACTGAACAGGCTCTCTCAATGGCACTAATGGCCTCGAGTTGACTCTCGTTCATGCCAACCATTGTCAGAGGCTGCTTGTGGCACTGAAGGACTCAGTCGTTGACTGTGTTCCTGGAAACAGGGTCCATATAAATGATACAGTGAGCCAACTGAATGCCAAACGAATCCTCCCAGCCGCTTTGGAAAAGAGACCCCAGTGACGCCGTGGTTCTAGATTTGAGAGGCTCTAGGGTCAAGTGATGGATCCGTCGTTATACCAAAGAGCCGGGACGGACTGGTTTTTAATACTTGATGTGAGTCGGCAAAGGACATGAGACGAACCGGCAATTTAGTGGCGGTAAAATCTGATAGAAAGAAGAATGAGGGGGCCTGTGAAATGAGAGCAAGGTAAGATCATTGCCCCAGGCTCGGCATCCGCTCTCAATCGTTGGAAGGGGGCAAGATTTTGTCGGATGAAGACCAGGTACGAACAACCCAACGAACCGGGAATGAGACAGGAAGTCGAGAAATGGATGAAGACTCTATCAGGGATTTGTACAATCTTTTGCATGTCCTGCCCGATCTACAAGAGATGGACATCTGTTTCGGCTAATCAGGCTTGCCGTTGATGGTGTTCGAGCAGCTGCATCAAGCCACTCGGTTCCCAGACAAAGCCTTCAGCCGAAAACAGGATGGCGCTCGGCCAAAACAGGCACAACAAACGTCTAGCAAAGACGATGGATAATGACAACGAGAGAACGAAAGAGAGGGTCCAGAAGGATGGATGAAACCAACTAGAATTCTCAAGTCGTGGGAGAAAAGCCAGTCCGGCAACATGGCCATTGGCTGTACTCGTCCAAGTGAGAAACTAGAGGCATCTTTGTACACCAAGGGGGCTCTCGGTGCCCCATTCTTGGACCTTTATGCCCGAGAGAGACTGACAGCAGCCTCATCTCGGGGTGCTCACTGCTGGGGGTAAGTCTGTGTCGTCTGTACATACGTTGTGGCGTCGTCCAGTAGCCGCGTCTCGTAGCCAGACGGACAAGGATATCAAGGGTAACAAGGGTGCATGACATGGACGCAGGCACAGAGGTTGGATGGCAAGGGCCCTTGCAGATGTGGTAAAAGGAACACGGCCGTGTCGCATTATAAACGCAGTATCTGGGACCGTGGGCGGCGGCAGAGGGGTGTACAGCCAGAATGGATGTATGTAGTAGTAGTTTTGTGCTTGCAGAGTAACACTGAGCGGAAAGCGGCTACAAGCCCGAGGTTGCCCTTGTTTCGTTGAACAAAAGAGTCAAGTTTGTCTGGGTTGAGGGTGAGGCATGTGGGGGATGAAGATTTCCGAAATGGTGTTGGAGGACCGAACCGAGCAACGCGGGTGGATTCTCCCCAGTGACGGCCTTGTTTGTCCGTTGGTCTTTGCATGATACGTAGTTTTGGTTTTTGGTCTTTCAATAGCCAGTGAGCACCTTTCAAATGACAGGCAACGCCCTATGGCTCAGACTTGGAACCTTGAAAGCATCAGGAACAAGGTCGACGAATCAGAGAAGCAGCATTAGGGTTTAGCCACGACGGGTGGAGGTCTGCAAGTCTGTCCCTGGAGAAGGCGAAGTCTTGGCTTAACCCCCTCGAGAGTTGCCACGATCCTGGGGAAAGCTGGTCAACGGCATATTAAGCTTCCCTTGGCTTCACCCTTTTTTGCTTTTTACCGCCTTGGTTGGCTTCGTTGATTGTTCTCTGCACTCGTTTTATTATGGGAAGCACGCTTCCGTCGTCGAGGCGGCACGCATGTGGATGCCAGTTGGAGCCATGAAAAAGGAGACGGCAGACTTTGCGATTGTTTGCTTGCCGAGCCAAAAACGGCAACTTGCATGTGGAACTCTTTCAGCGACAGCATACCGGCTTTGCGTCGACATCTGATGCTTGGCTGCTTCTTTGTCTCGATTTCGAGCTATCCTTGTCGGTCGGAGCAGTTCGTCTCGGATCCAGGAGGATCCAGCGTTTGTGGTTCCGCTTGAGCAATCCAATTTCGAGTACGGCATCAGGCAGCGACTGGAAAATGCGAACATCTCTTGGAAACCTTCTAGTGCGAAGCATGACAGTTACCGCAAGTCAGTTGGTCAGGTAGTCAGGTACCGACTAGTCGACCAGGGATGATGAGTAGAGCCGAACCAAGCTCGAGACAGTCCGAGTCCCGAGTTATGATACTACTCTGGACCAGAATAGAATGAGTTGGAGGCTCGGCGCCGGCAGCGAAGCTCCTGAGCTGCTGTATGCACATACAATGTTTGCCCCATGCCGGTCTACTCCTAATTGATGGTGGAGTTTTGAGCTGTAAGCTTTGAAAGGATGGTGTCAAGTGTTTGCCTTTTCTTTTCCCATCACAGCTAGCACGGTTGAGTCGGCCCATCTCTTCATATCTTCTCCATCTCCCCACGTCTCCTGTGGGCACGTCTTACCTCAACTGGCATCTTGCGGCCGACGAGGAACAAACAGGAGCTAACACGCTTGCAGAGAAGGTGGGAGGAAAGCAAGGTGATAATTTCGAATCATTGACAGGCACATCACCGCCGGTTACCCACGACACCCTCTCAGACAGATTGATTGTCAGTTGTCCAACTAACAGAAATGATGCCATCGACCGTCCCATCAGCTAGTAGCCGTGCCCTGGCAACCCTGGCCAGATTGCGCATTTAGGTCCCCTCCTTGTGCTGCAAGCATGTCCGTCCTCAAGTCGCGTCCGTCAGTTGACCCTGCGCGAGTTGGTTGATGGCGCGCGACACACCGGACCTGTCGTCTCACAAAAAAAAAGACGAGTAAGTTATCCGCTCTTCGCAATGGCTTCTGCCCTTCCAAGTGGCGTAACTTGTCTTAGGTCCCGAACCTAGATGACACACAGGAGCCAGGGGAGCAAAAAGGAAAACTGTGAAGAATGTCGGGCACTGTGGCGCCGCCGTTTCATTGTGCTTCGTGTGGACAGGTCCACATCCAACCCCGACGGGGAAGACACTCAGTAATAATCGTAGTTGGTATTCTTGCATCCAGCTCTCGTCCTGCTTTTCTCCTTCTCTTCCTCAGTTCCCCGGGCCAGATCGCATCGATGCCTGCAATAGCGGCGGTCTTTATTGGAGATTTCTCTAGGGACACACACGATCGACGGACACGAGAGAGCCCACCAAAATGGAGGGAACCGCACATCTACTGGTGCTCGTGCTTGCCGGTACAGCCGTCTTGGCTTTTGGAAATGGTCCAAGGATACAGACAATCCACGGTGTGTACTCCGTACTTCCGGCTGAAGTTCCACAACGGGCACTTTTCCCCGTTTCGTACACACAGTTCTTTGCTCCATGTGCCAGCTAGCTAGTAGTAAGGCTACTAGCCTCCGCCCAGTAATGATCATCATGATGAGGGACTTGCGTGGAACCGCGCCTGTGGCTCGAAGCACAGAATTACCATAGGTTTGTCCGTTGTTGGCCCCCGCCCCTTGCCCTTGGTGAGCTCGATGCCAAATTTGCCGGCTCAACACCAGGTTGAGGGTCTGGAATCTGGATGAAACTAATGCGCCCAGCCCTGTGGCTCCCATGTCAGTTGGTGCGGAGTCAGCCTATCCAGATGTTGGTGGCGGAATTCAAGTATCTATCATAACCGCATGGCCATGTTAGATTCAGAGCCAACGCATTTCTCAAGCAAGAATCCATGCCGATATGGCTGAGCCATCAATGTATTTCCAGTTTTGAGCTTTCACCAACACCTTCCCAAGCGGGTATAAACCTTACCGCCTGGCTGCATTCGTATCGCAGCAGCTATTGGTATTGCAACGATTCTTAGTTCCGCGGAAGGCTATCCCTCATGCCGACTGACACGCACTGGTCTCCGTCCGAGGTAGGCTTGGCATCATTTGGAAGACAACATTGACTTGTTGCCATGTTCATCCAGATTCATTCATGTAAGCGTCGGAATTGGCACTTGTCCGGAGTATGTACATTTAGGCAATAACGTGCCACCCCACAACATCGTCAGCCCCCCATTTTCGTCACATCCACAACGATGCGATTGATGCAAGAGCCCTTTTTTTAACATTTAATAACTTCATTAAATTAAGCTCTTTTAACCTTAAATTACATTATAGCCCCTACTAATATCGCTTATAAGAATAGAATTAAAGCCGCTATTAAAGACGTTAATTCCGGCCTTTTAAAGGTTTAAGTAGCTTAAGATTACGGCCTTTCTTAAATAACCCTTTATAACTAACTTCGCGGTTATTAACTAAATTAAGAGGCTAAGGTAGGCTCTTAATAATTATTATAAAGATAAGAGAAAGACCTAGTAAATTAGATTCTATATAAGAAAGAAGCTAGTAAGCTACCTATATAATGGTAGCTTAGGTTCTAAGGCATAGTAGGTCTGTTTCTTAGAAATTAAGTTAGGTTAAATGTTATAAAGTAGCTTTTAAGTAGTATTATAATAAGGCTATTAAGAGTATAACTCTTAATAATAAAACTATTACTTAAATTAATTAACAGAGATTTAAATTATCTAACTATAAAAATACCCTCTTTTTAAGTACTTATTTA